TACATTGTTACCTATATATTATGCTACTCATAACGGTTTAATAACTTTATTGCTTGCAAAAGTACCTTAAACTGTCATCTGCCTTTAACATTCAAAATGAGCTGCTGTCGTCGTCTAACCCTGCCACGGCACGCACACAGCTGACGAGGCGACAAATATTTATACACGACACCTTGCCCTAAGCACAACTCACCCCAATGTACAATGAATGATATGCTGAGTTTATTTACCACTTTAATATGAGCAACAGCAACTACACTTGCATTACAGTAACAACAGCAAACAATTTTGCAGGTATAAGTATCAAGCAGCATATAAAGCATATAAGTGAAGCTCCCCCAAAGCGGGAGCTATGACATATCCCTTTCTTGTTTATTGCTCCTTTTTTTCTTTTTATGAATGCATAAACTGTTGCAACTGCGCTGCCGGACTCAGCAAATTGAAATAGTTTGACTGTTTTCAAAAAGTAAAATCCAGTCCATCGACGATTTGCGCTTTTTTTTTCATCGGTGTTATTCCTTTCAATATAACTACAAAATTTAACGGTCACTTTCAAAAGAGTTATACAGTGAAATAGGCTTTTCGGAGACCCAACATGGAATAGTAATCATGAAATTAGAACTCAGAATATCTTAGAGATATTCCGTTTAAGCTCATATTTGATTTTGGGCATATTAGCGGGCTAATCTTTCGTATACGCCCCCCTTTCCATTTGCTTCGTTTTCTCAGAAAACCTTCTCTTCTTCCTAAGCAATGTCGAAAAAGAATAATTTTTTAGGTCGATTTTTAATTTTTTTTTTTTAAATATTAATTAACATCCAAAAAGTGTTATAAAAGTCATTTATCACAAATGCCAGTGTGCCAGAACCATAAACACCCCGCGGCCAAATATCACCAGTGTAGACAGTAGTTCGACGCGAAAAAACTATGTATGAACACCCTGGTTTCGCACCGACCAGAGTTTTTGTTTTGTTTTTGAATTGCCGAAGGCCAAAAGCGGGGGTGTACTCGATATAATCGTCTATGAGCTTGCACAAAAAATCATTTACCCATTTATCTCTATGAAAAATGGTTTTAAAGGTCGCAATGGAATATTCGTCTGAAAGTTTTACGAAAGAAGAAAATTACACTTTGATTTTCGTTCAATCTTATGTCTCTCGTATTAATATTCGTTCTACTTGAAATGACTTCTATATACAGCTATTACAAATCAGAGGTAGATCCGTTGCCATATAACGGATCCAACTGTCAACCCGAATTTCCACTTCCTCTTTTTTGCATAAAATTTGCTTCGAAATACGCCGAGTGGATGTAAAATCGGCAACGGCAGTAAAAATGGAAATGAGAGGCATGCCGAATGCCTCATGTGCAGTTAAACGCAACTGTTGCATGACTCCACAAGCAGCGCCGTTTGGCAAAGCAAATTTGTTGGTTTCCCTTCAAAGGTACAGGATTATTTCGTTACGTAATATGTGTGTAAAGTATATACACTGAAACATCTACGGAAAAGTACACAGACTTACGCTCCACCAACTTGTGAATATTTTCATATTCCTCTCGACATGGTAACACCATGTTGTTTAATGTTGTAGTTATATTATGCACACATACACATGTATACATATGCATATACATGTATGTGAGCGGCATTTCTTTTAATAAAGGCCAAAGACCTCAACAGGTCTTCTTTTTGTAATTTTATTACTTATAGTTATATTAAAGCGGTTCAATTATATTTAATTGTCTCCTTACATTTCTAAACGAAGAGCCTAGCCCTACTTATTTAACGAGCTTCACAGAACAGAAAATCGACTAAACTATCCACCGAGTTATGCATCTAAGCCCAGAAGAGTCAGTTTTTAGCGGCGGACTGCCAACACAATAAATTCTACTAAATCTATTTAAGAGTTTTTTATTCTGCTAACCCAACAACAATACGTATCTCTGGCATCCTATTGAGCGTTCATGTCTAACTACAAACTCGAGTTTACGGTTTTGTGCGTTTGAAGAAGTTGTTTTACTTCTATTGTTTAAGAATTTCCATATTAATTTGTGGAATTCGAATTCTCCAATTCTAATACTCTCTATTCCAAATATCGTTCACTTCTGTAATGTGTTAGAAAACTTTCTCGCATTCCCTTTTCCAGTTCAGCTTTAAATTCTTTCGTCAACAAAAACTAAAAATTGTGTCTCTAACTACTAATTTTGTGATACAAACGCAATCTAATTGGTTTGTATTTGAACCCATTAATTGCTTAAGCTTGATTCATAACATGTCTGCTAAACTTGGATTATATGGGATATTTGGTATTTGAACATTATATGTTTTTAATTTTTAGTATACAAACAAATTCGGGGTTTAAATGAAGAATTGTCAAGTTCCAAAGGTTTGGGATTACTCTTTCACTTCAGAGTAGAACGCTGACATGAAATGGTCTATCAGTCAACAAATGATACCTGAGTAGAGTGTTTTCTTCAGGAATAATTCGTATATTACTATAGAGGAATCAATAGAGGAAAACATCAGACCGCCGAGCTGAAATACGATAAAAAATACAGTTTTCCTAAATACTTGTGATGAATCCACTGTTGATCTTTTAAAAGCTTCTCTTCAAAAATTCCTCGCTGCTCAGAAGTACAACAATTCACGCTTTTCAATTTGGTTTTGATTTGTTGTTGCTACTGTCCTACTCATTTTCCTCTCTTCTTTACACCACCCTATGTGTGCAATTTGCTGCAGTGAATGCAACGGAAAAGCTATTCGTTTACGGCTAACCGGCAATACTCGAAAAAATTCGAACGGGAAATTCAACGGTAATACCTGATTCGCGGCGGTAAAAGATCCATTAAAGAGGGGGATGTCATGTCGTCGCTTTGCTTACATACATATATTTTTTTCATTCCATTGTGAGCGAGCGACAAACGATGGGCGATAAGCCCGCACAGACAAGACCGGATGTGATGTGCTGCAAAAAACTACAAAAAAATACAACATTGGGGAATGTTATCTAGGTAGAAAATAGTAGTAGTAGAGTGCGATATGCGATTGGAAGTGTGTGTGCTGCAATCTCTGCAATTACCACTGCTGACACGTGTGATTGTTTGGTCCAACACGATTCCGCCGGATGAGTGTGAAAACATACATCGACCACCAGACATAAACCCATAAACACATGTGCTTCTTGACCACATATAAACTCATATATAAAAGTGTCATTTAAATCTGCAGATTTATGTGTCGTTGAAATTTGTAATTTATTTTTTTTATTTTTTACTGCTGTCATTCTTTTTATGTTGATTTATCGAAAGAGTTAGCATATTCGCAAGCATAATCAGATAAATATATTTATGTATGTATGTGACATAAGAGGGCGGAATCAGCAGCGTGTTGGCAAAGTGTGCATTTCCTACTTTAAAAGCCATTTTTTATCATCAACACTTAAATTCAAATAAATCCATCGAAATTGAAAGTTCGACATAATGGCCACAATTGCAGCAAAAGGAAATGAAACCAAATCTACAAAATTGAAATGGTATAAATAAACCAACTGTCTTCTTGTTGTGAGTGCGTTAAAACTTATTCTTCAATTCGCTTTGAACTCGATTTTATTGGGAAAACCAAAATTCAGTATTGACCTGTATTATCAAAAGCTATTCGATATTCTCATTCCCAGCAACCTTCCTGGTCTAAACTGACTTTGTTTTTGTTTTATCGAAAAATAAAACACTTTTACGCAACTCCAAATATCTATACTCAAGGATTCATCTTTTATCTCATTTCACTTCAAGTATTACACATTCATTCGTATAAAAAAATTTTGTTAAAAAAGTTATCAAAATCGTGCACGAGCATGTCCTATAATAGATTTAGGTAGCAGAGGGATTTAGAATCTAATAAACTGCAAAAAAATCACAATCAAACTTGTTGGAACCTTTTAATTCGACCACACTTAAAAATGGAGAAAATAGTGTAATAACCACGCGGCATTATACAAAAGTAAGAAAAAGGCATGGTGATGTGTTCAAAAAGTGATCCACCGCCTATTTCCACATAATAAAATTAGATCCGTTGCTTTGGTGCTTTAAGTATGAGCATTTATTAACATAACATAATACGATACGATATCAAAGCAGAATGAAACCAGTTCAAATCTTCTTAGGTTCCCCAAATATCGCAAGTATACCTTTTTAAAGCTCTTTATATTTTCGAAGGCATTTTATGTTCGATTCCGAACTTATGTATCTCTTGTGTTACAATTTATTTTAATTTCTATAGTTGACTTCAGCAGCACTGAATTTTCCTCGAATAGCAGTTCATTGACTTTTAACTTTGCACCCTATTTCGGCATGTGTGACATTTTAGTATTTATCAACACCTTTTGTTTTGATTGAAACTTCAACTGAAATATGATATCTCCCGAAGAAACCGTTCCGTGCTTCAGTGTTAGAAGCACTCGAAACGTCGAGTCTATTGAGCGAGCTCTGAATGAATTTAACATCAAATCGCTGTTCTTTTTTACAAAAAAAAATTCCCTATTGAATTTTCTTGAGTAACCACTTAGACTCTCAATAGATCCCAGGCAAATTTATTATTTCAAAATTTTTTACCACATTTCATTGTTCAAATGACATTTTAAGAAACTTTAATGAAGCTTTTTCAAAAATGGTTCAGAAGTGCATATTCACAATAGGGATAATTGCTTATTATTTTCTACATAAAGTTCTAGGTAAATATTTTTAAATATTTCTGAAAAAACAGACACTTTTGTTTGATTTATACTATGCGAATTAGCCGTTTAATATACACACATACTTATATATATCATCTAAACATTTATTTGTAAATACTTCTATATTTCAATTAAGCGTTCTCATATCAATTTTGTATGTATACATATACGAGTGTGTGTGCGCGGCTATGCTGCGATTTGGTGTGGTCTAAATGTTCGACCGCAGTTGAGTTAAATAGAAACCTCAGCGGATGTTTAATTGAAAACGGAACCCAAGCAAGCAACCAACCAACACACACACTCAAATTGTATGCATACTTGTACATCGCGTATGCACCAGTATGAACACAATATTAGCCAGGCGACTGGATCGCGGCAAAAGAAACAACAACAATACAATAGTTAGTCACTACAACAACGGTGATAACTATAATAGAGCGAAGAGTCAGCGTTTAGGCTTGCCTGCCCCCTGTTAAGGCATTTTAATAATAAAGAATAAAAATAGGGGTAATATAGGCAACAACAAAGTACGAAGAGCAATATTACTAATGTAAATAGTTGGAGAAGTGTACGAGTTAAAGCTTCTGTATTCATACGGGGCAGTAAAATTTTAATTCATCATGAGATAAATAAACTATGCCTACTTGGTCATCGAAATTTCGTGTGTAACGGCAGTTGAGCGCAGCACTTAGTGGCGGGCGCAAGTTGTTGCTGGCGCTACAAAACATTCGGCTATCAGTTTGTTAGAAGATACCGACGCGTACGCGTCGTTGGCACGGCGTTGCAATGTCGTTCGAATAGTCGCGTTCGCCACGAAAAGTGTCTATAATTTTTAGAAATATATATAAAGAAATTTTTTGTTTCCAAGTTTATTGTGAAAAAGCTCGCACGGGCAACGTATCGTTAGACTTGTGACGCTAGCGGTGCAGGCCCCCTCGAGTGGCGCGAGCCTATATTAACTCGAGGGGTGGGGGATGAATATGTTGAACATATATGAACTTTTTGTGAAAATAAAACAGTGAAATAATTCCCTTCGAAGACGCGAGCTCGTGGATGATGAAATTTCTATTTTTAGTTGTTTGCGCGATCGCCGCGTTACATACGCGCTATAACGGGCATGCAGCACAGCTGCGACGCGTCTGGATGCAGGATCACTGCCATCACGGTATTTGCACCGGCATCGATATCGGTCGCAATGACTATGTCATTCTGTCGCAGATGCCCATCGCGAAGCAGCTTATGCTTACCTTTCTCAATTCCAGCATCGCCAAAATACCGCATCTGATGTTCGACACCTTTCCAGATTTGCAGGTGCTGCGTATGGAAAATTGCTCAGTCGAAGTTTTTGAGAAGCCACAATTCGAAGGCGCTAGCAACTTGATGAGTCTCTTTCTGGGGCACAATCTGCTGCGCGACATACCGAAAAATATCTTTCTCGGCGCCGATAATCTCCACACGCTGCACTTAAATCATAATCAGATACGCACGCTGCATAACGCCAGCTTTCATGCGCTAAAAGAGCTGCAAGAAATGTCACTAGCTGACAACCAGCTAGCACAGCTGCCACTTGCTGTATTCGCGCCACTGCGCAAACTTCTAGACGTCAACTTGAGCGGCAATCGGTTGTCGGCTTTTCCGCGGGGCATTTTTGATCGCAACCTTAACTTGACGCGAATCAATTTGTCGCGCAATCGTTTTGTGGCATTTGAATCTGAGCTGTTCAAGCTGCAGCCGCGTCTGAAACTCTTAGATCTATCGTACAATGAACTGCAAGATCTTACGCTCAACTTTGCTGTGCTGGAGAGCGCGATTTGCAACAATTGCGACATACGCAAGCTCACCGTCTATGGTTACGTCCACGATCTAGAGTTGCGCAACAATTCACTACGCGAGCTGCCACATATACCGCATGCGGCCAACGTTAGCGGACTGGATTTGGCACACAACCCGCTCGGCACATTGCAGGGCAATCCGTTGCGACGCTTTACTGGGCTACAGCGGCTCAACTTGAGCTCAATCGGCATGCATGACCTGCCCGAAGATGTATTCAAAAAGCAGGCGCAGCTCAAGCAGCTGGACATATCAGCGAACTCGCTGTATAATTTGAAATTTCCGCTTTTCAATGATTTGAAGTCGCTGCAATACTTCTACTTCCAGCAAAATAACTGGAACTGTGATTTCCTGCAGTTGCTGATGAACTCGTTTGTGAAGAAGCGTGATATATCCTTTATGGAGGACACCATTGAACCGGAACTGGTCGATGATTATGTGGATGGTGTGGCCTGTTGGTATGAAAGCAACAAGGCGTCGAAGAAATGCTCAGGCGACGGCCTGTCGGAGGCCGCTTTAGAGCTGGCCATTGTGCGTAATGACATCAAATCTTTTACGGAGATCGTGGAGAAGAAGTTCATCAAGGTCTACCGTATGCTCGATGAGCTGAAGGCTCGTTTGTAGCGTCGACGAGTGCAACGAGAGTGCCGAAAGGAAATCACCCGACAATTGACGATCTGGCTTGAACTATTATTATTCTTACTGGCTTACGTTATCACTTTAATCGCTTTATTGCTTATCTAATCGCATTTAATAGCAAATTCTAAGCGCATATCTTATAACCACAAGTAATACTCGAACTATAAAGATATATATATTTTAATCGTATTTATCCTCCAATTATATCGAAATATATCGTTTAATCGCATTTAACCTGAAATTATGACAACACATATTTACTAGCATTACAAAAATGACAACATTTTAGAATTTACTAAGTAATTGACAGAGATTTATGAATTAAGTTTATATATAAATCAACAACAGTATATCGATTGATGCAATAAATGACTTAGGTTTAAATTCGGGGGCGTTTCATTTACATTCCAAAAGTGGGTGATACTTAGAGAGCTGGCGAAACGTAAGTGTTTCATGTTCAATTTTATTAATATTTTATCTCACATTTACATAATTATAAAGTACTTTAAATGTGTAAATTTATAAAGAAATCTTGAAACACATTAAAGTTCTAATTAATTTAACATACATATATATGTACAAGTAAATGGTGTTCAAAAATACGCCAAGTGATTTATGAGGTACTTCCTCATCGATATTATTAATATGACACTTCAGGGAATCATGGAACTGAGTGTTATCGGGTCCTCACGACATTTGCTCATCTGATAAAGAGTTCTCTCTACTGAAGATTTGAGTTTAAGATTAGAAGTTTGTGCCCTTTCTATTTGTAAAGTTTCCTAATAACTTGTATGGTCTAGTATGGTGTTTCCTATTTACCGGAATAACTGAGCTAAATCACATTTTATTAAAAAATCTCCAGAGAGTCCTTAAAAGCCTCCATTAATCAAGGGACGCTCTCTATAAAACGATGATAACCAGTGCAAGTCAATAAAATGAAGAAAATAATACAGAAAAGACAAAAATAATGAAGTAAGCACTTATGTATATGCCTTTAATTTTATTTTGGTATGCTCAGTGATTTGCTCGACTCTCCCATCACCCTTCATCACAACTAGAGCAATGAAAATGTCAAAATAGTCGACAAATCAAATTAAATCTCAAAATCTTCAATTTAAAGAGAAGAAAAAAACCTTATTTATGAACGTCAATTATTGCCAATGAATTCGCATTTATGCAAATTAAAAATATCTCGCAGCACATCGGGGCAAGCGTACAACGGAGACCGTCCAAGCGTTACGTTGGCTTTCAGATTTTCTAAGTCAACAAAGACGAGAAGCAAAAAGCAGAAAAAAAAATGTTTGATTATTTAGTAATTTGTAGAAAAATTATGTCCGCCGATGAATACATATGAGTTTGAAAACGTAGCTCATGAAACGAGATATTTAGTTCTTCAAATTTGCGCCGCTTCAAATGAATGAATCCAGATGCAGAAATGCTTCTTAACTTGCATGTAATAAACCTATTGGCACGTCACTGCTATACATTTGTGTTTTAAGTGACTAAGAGCTCCTTTAAATATCTTTCTAAATCTCTTTAAATATCGCCGCGTTGGTACCTGAGACATACCAACATACGGTAACTCAGCTATATAAAGAGCATAGAACCTCATTTGCCTTAGAATGTTGCACGTCGTAAGAACGTAAGTATTTATGCATGTACTTTTATGATTTCACCTGTTGTTTTTGTTGTTGTTTGCTTATGACTTGCTGTCTATTAACTTAGATGACATGGAGGGCATCAAAAACTGCAGCGGCAACAAAATTGCTTATAATCCAGTATTTGCATGCGTGTCATTGCAATTTATATCTTAGCATAACAGTAAAGTGGAAATACAATTTTCATAAACAAAACTTAATGTGTGCGCAAACGCATGTGCGCATGTGCGTGTGTGTGTGGGTGGTGTGTAATTAGATGAATATGCTGCATGAGTTGCTTGTTGAAATCTGATGACAGCAGTTGCTTGTTTAACAGTTACACTCATCTGCCCCCGCTGCAACAACCACCCCTTAGCATTATTCTACACAACTTTGCTCGTATGACAATGAGCATTCATACACATACATGTAAGAATGCATTCACATAGGAAATGCGATATTGTAATTCTGGTTCGCCATGAGCGTATGCATCGAATCCCGGAACTTGAGTCATTATGTGTCTTCGTTCCGAAACTTGAAACCTCCATAACTGCCACAAAAATGTGTTCAACAATTCGTTTTTGCCAAACGTTGTCGTAACATTCACTGTGAGGCACAAGGCATTATTATCCAGCCTATGTATGATCAAGCTTCTGACCGGATGTTGCTTAACTGAATACTGAATAAATAGTAGCGAAGAACCCAAAACGACCTTTTTTTTATATATACTAAGAGAGCACTAGCAAAACCTTCTTTGTTTACCATTCAGATGTTCTTTTTCATTATGATGTTCTATAAAAACGCCGAAACATTTTAGGATTCCAAAGTATTAATGTTAAAATTCCGAAATCCTGTCCTTAAGAGGCGCACAGTATGACAGCATAAAAAAACGTCGAATTTTGTGATTTAAAAAAAGCTACTATATCGATTGTTTTGAAATTTTTAAGGATATTTATACATGTTTCAAGTTAGCACAATGAAATTTTTGTAAAACAAAATTAAATATTTTTTGAGTCATACGAGAGCTCCGATAGTGCTAAAAAAAGATCCTCCACTGCTGCAGCAATGCCGTCCTTTTGCGTGGATGAAACCTAAAAATAAAAATATTCTTGTTTAATTAGAATATATTCTACGATCGGATCGGATCAAAAACCGATAACAGGCAGAAAAACTTTCATAATGATCGGACCATTTGTCTTCGAGTTATCACTGTAGCAAATTCGCAAAAATAAACTGTTGCAGCTGATTGAACTGAGGGTTTACTCTTTAAATGGCTGTAACTCAAAAACTATTTGAGATATCGATTTTAAATTTGGTATATTATTTTTAAAGGTATAAACTATCGATATATTAAAAAAAATGTTTTTTTTTGCAAAATTTCACACTAAGGATGTCCCTTAAAATGCTCCTTTATTTACGGATATTCTTTTAATAGTGGATATTTCTTCACGATCGCTGTTGGCGATCATTTCACAAATAGGCCACTAACACCAATATCATAAACACTTACGCCCTTGCTACATAACTTTCACAACTACACATACATACACAATAAACTTTGTTAGCTGTGAGATATTAGCAAAAGCTTGAACATTTACGATTTAATTGATGGTCCTCATTCCAAAACCTTCTAAAATCTCCAACATTATTTTCTGTCGCAGTTTTTATTTTACTTTATAAAATATGTATCCTCTCGCCTCAGATATATACATATATGTCCTGTGAGCAGCGGTAAATTAAAATCGGAGCAAACTTTGCTGCCACAACATGTGGCATGCTGCTGGCATGCCCACGAACTTAATCATTTTTGCTGTTTCTGTGTCAATAAATTTTTTAGCTTTAAAGGAGTCAAAAGCGATAACATGAAAAGTTTTACTGGCAAACAACAAAAGTAACAACGCACCAGCAAATTGCAGCGATGACAGAAAGTGTAATTTTAAATGCTCGGTATATGTGCCGCAAAATCTCTTTTGGCCACATGTTTGTGTATATGTGTGCATGTATGTTAATAACGGCAGCTGACATGAATGTGGCAATAATGCTGCCCCAATAAACTGCTACCCACATACTTCCAATGCTTACCATGCGCCCAAATTTTGTGCACCGCTCATCGGCTGCTTGTACTAGCTCAGGAAAATTTTCTTGCGTGAAGATACTACAAATATAGCAACAACAAGGGAGATGCGCATACGCACTGCACACCCAAAACCAGCATAGAATAAACGCCGAACGCTCTGAGACAACTTTTAAAACAAATGCAATCATAAGCTGCCATTACTAAAGGCATAGAGATGCAACTGCGCAAGTTTCGACTAAAAGCGCTTTTAATTCTATCAACTGCTTGCAACTTAAAACTAATAATGGCAGCAACTTGTTTGTCGTACTTTGTTCACACATCCGTTCTTCACTTTCGGCTTGGGACTCTTTACTTGCGGCGCTCCGCAGCTTGCAGTGATTTTAAGATGCTAGCTTCCAACAATCTGAAGACTCCAAGCGTATGAAACAATATATGTATATTGCCTCAAAGGAAGCCATTGTATTGAAGATGCAAAACGGTGGTCTTCTTCATTGATTTGTGCATGGGAGATATTACCGTAACATTTTGAGACATTTTTTCGACTATAAAGATTAAATATCTTTTGCTTCACGCAATTTGTTAATAATTCTGTTAGCAACTCTATTTATTTTTAAAGCCGCAGTTTAATTAAATAAATATATTTTTATTTATCTACCAATTACTTCTACCAACATAAAAGCTCTCCATCATATCCTATCCTTGTGATTTTGACAATTTTTTTGTTTGAACGCGCACATTCAATATGAAGAGTTTTTTATATTGTAGCTTTTGTTCTATAATAAGCGGCAATCCTGTTTACAAAAAAATTCTTCATCGAATTATTTCAGAAACTACACTTTATTAAAAAAATTTTTTTAAATCCATTTTTAATATCTCATTATACATTAGTGCAATTTGACATCCCAATTTCCGGCACATTTTCGAAAACTGTTGCCCATGCCTTAATAAGCAAATAAGATTGACTGCAGTGTTGTTTGCTTCATTTATCACTACCCTCGCCATGCATCCCAATTAAAGGCCATGAAGATATTTCGACATCATAACCAAACGCAGCGACAAAAAAGTGTTATGATAATTTCACGCACACTACTCAACCATTAAATGCTATGAATGGCATTAACTCTGCCACGTGCCGGCCAACAACAACGCCGTGTTAGGCATTCCCATATGCAGTTTAGATAACGCAAATAGCAAACTGCTGCGTTTTGCTTATTTAAACTTATCTGCGCATATATGCAAATACAAAGCATTTAGCTGCACGGGCGCATGTACAGACACGCGCACGCCACGGCGTATGAATAATTAGGATCGCGCGCACCGCACGCAACATTTCCGTTAGTTGCGCAAACACGCCTATTATGCTAATGTTTAATTATGTGACCACATCTGCACCCACGCCCAACCCAGCGTCCCACGTGTCCAAAACTGCATTGAAGCGCCCGAAATTATGCAATAGCAAATGAGTGGTGCGCTATAGCAAATACTTTGTGTAAATATAAATAAAATGTATGCATGCGGCATTTTAATCGCATTGGCTCTAATATTAAGTTGCACACACAGACACACAACGCTTTCGTGCGCAAATGTGCATGTGCATTATTCATATTTTTTGATTTGTTATAAAGTTAGCGATGAAAATATAATTTTCAATTGGGCTAATTTGCTGCGGT